TTTTACTCTTCTCCTCTTACGCTGAACGTATTCCTCGTTTGACTCATTGGATGGGCGATTAGGGACTAATGTGCCTACGAATCCCAGTGCTCGGCTGCCAGAAACGTCTCCCACTGTACGCAATCCGGAACCAGACCTGGAGTCGGGAATAACCATTCCTCCATACACATCCGCCGATGTGCAACCGTTGTCGTCCAGAGAGCAAGAATTGGTGACGCAGATGAACGCTATGGCTGAGAAAATACGTGAATTGGAGGAGGAGAGAAGTAGAAGTAGGCCGCCAGATTATCAGAGCGGTAGTTCTCAACCCGTAGAAGCAGAGGCTGGGATTGTCGAAAGGACAGATGGAAACCGAGCAGGAGAAGCGGTTATACCGGGAGCCACCAACGGAGTGACGGTTTCGACCTCTTAACTCAGGTGGGACTGAAACTCGTCCTTCCAGAGGCTCTCGGAAAGCCTCTTAGCCGTTATTTATGTTTCTTACCCTATATCCTGACATTCGCCATTTCACCTCCGCTTTCGATTCGTAACGGCTCTTAACCGGATGATATCACCCCTTTACCGCCATGACAATACCGCTGAAGCCTCGAAGGGTTCGGCCACTCATCGGCAAGGGTATCTCTTGTGCTTGGTCCCTATCCAATGCCTTGCAAAGCCGAACCGGGAGGCCACCGCTGGTTTCCTGCCCAATCAAGTGTTGCTGTAAGTGATACCTCGTGTGCTGCCGTTCAAGCTGTTCAATCGATGAAAGCGGGATGTCAGCCAAGCTCAGGAGGTATTATGTCTTGGCATGGCCTGCTCATAATATTCAGCGGGGCTCGTGGAAGAAAGGGATGTACTCTCTAAGCCTTCTACAAATTTCTCATTTCTAGATCTGCTTTCTCAACGGTTAGTTTCCGAGGATTAATAAGCAGCTTTGTCATTTGAACACTTCAATCGTGTGAAAAAAATAACTTGCACGGTTGTACCCAGAGAACTGCCAAGCCCTCAGCCAAGGAATGGGGGAAGTGGCGTCAAAACACAACCAGAGAACTCAAATAGCGTGGTATCCTCGAGTCAGTCGCCCCCCCCCCTTCCTAAATCCTCTCTTCCCCCCAATTCCCCCCGTTCGACCAGTTTCACCATGTTAGACCCCGCCGACATTGTAGTGATAGTCACCGGGACTGTATCGATCATCGTTTGTTCATGCATATCCATTCTGTGCATAGGAAGGAAGAAGCGCCGTCGACGGCACAAGGAGAGGGAGACGACATCCTCCGCTACGATTCCTGTGCCAGACGTTGAACGAGGTGTGTTCTGACTAGTTCTTACCCTTACCAGCTGAAACGATTCCCGGTCTTGTGGGTGACTTCGTACTTTCGCTTGAATCAGAAGGGAACGCGGAGGATTCCGTCCCCGCCACGGTGCGACGTCCCGAAGAAGACCCGAGTATTCCTGCGTATACGTCTGCTGATACGCAGCCGTTATCACCGAGAGAGCAAGAGCTGGTAACGCGGATGAACGTTATGGCTGAGAGGATACGTGAGTTGGAGGAGAGAAGTAGATTGTCGGGTTATCAAGGCACTGGTTCCTCTCAATTGATGGAAGAAACGACCCCGCAGAGAGCCGGAAGAGGGAATGTAAATCAAATACCAGCAGAAGTCGCGTCAGAGATGTCTCCATCAGCTCGTGGTTCAGGTTAAAAACGTTGAGGCCTCAAGCCTCGGATGCTGCCGACGCTTTAGCGTCTATTACTGGTGGACACCTTGGGCTCAGGCCTAAAGCGCATTTTTCAATTCACCTTACTCCCCATCCCTTCTCACTAGGTGCCTCTCTCCGTCTTGGTTTGATAGTCGCATGATCTTTTGATTCGCTCATCTATCGATAGGACAGACCATTGAATTACGTTTGATTCAAATTTAAATTCTTTGAGGGTGGGCCCTGTCAGACCAGGGCGCGGGAATTGAATTCCCTCCGTACTAGACCCTGAAAATGCAGGTTGGATGACTATATTAATATCTGGTACTGATGGGTGTGGGCGGGTACTGGACCTGCTTGTGTCTCTCCCTTGATTATTCCCCCACTTTTTTTCGACAACGAATCGTTCATGAAGATCTTATTACGAGCTTTTGCGTTGTTCGTTGGCAAAAACTTCCAAAACTCCGCCATTTAGATTGTTTTAACTGACCCTTGTCCCCATCAGCCAGTCACTTTTCATCCATCCGATCCTCGCATTTCAAATCTCGCTTGATCCCTCTGTGGTTACAGTCGGTGTTCCAGTTGTCGCAAGTTATACACAGGACACCGATCCTGTAGCTACTGAAATCAGATTGGTACTCTTCTCACCAACGGCTCGTTCGAGCAAATTCCCGATACCGCCTTTGGAGTCTGGATCAGGGACAACTACGTTTATGGCGAAGGAAACGGGGTACGCTGCATAAATCCTTTACTTGATAGGTGGCTGAATCGGGTCCGACTTAGGACGTTTCATTTGATAGGACGAAGTCCTGCAAAGCTGTCCGTTTAAGATTGCCCTTGGCCTGATTTTTCGGGATACCAGTACTGAGATTTTGTTTAGGACAGATGGAGAAAGTCATGCATTTCAGGCTATACTTATGGGATCGGAAGAGTGAGTCTAGTGTTCCGGAAACAGGTTGAATTTTGTCCACAGTGACTTATTAATCAATTTATAACTAGCACCGGCGCCAGTAATTCGACGACTTCAACTTCGACAGGAGGTAGTACCGCTTCCGATCCGTCTCCAGCGAGCTCTACACATAATCCATCCGAAACATTGAATGGGGAGCCTACCAAATCTCCCCCCATGTCTACTCCATCTTCGCATACTAACCTGAGGTTCGCCCCTTTCGTTTACTATCAATTCTAAGGCGAATTTACATTTTCATTTCTCTGATTCGCAGCCCCGGTATCATAACTGGTATTTCGGTAGGTGCAGCAATAGCGTTAATTCTCGTGGCTCTATTACTTTGGTTACTTTATGGGAGGAGAAAGAAAACTTTGTCCACTTCCTTGTACAACCCGCCTTCTCCGACACCATTTATCCCCACGGTTCTGTCAAAAGAAAGCATTGAAAACGCTAGATTATCTCAAGCGGACCGGGACAGGTCTACTCCGGATTCGCCTGCCGAACCAGTTACACCACGTTCACACTTTGGACCTCGAGCGGGGACGAGTCGTGAAGTCATTCAACATTCAGACAGTGGTTGGAGACCGCCTGTCGAATCATCGGAGGGTGGTCATCGTCCGGTAGAATTGCCACCGACGTATGATGATTCGACGAGAAGAGTGAGTGGGGCGGGGGACGGTGGAAACTCAGGAGCACTCGCAGGGATTCAAAGATTGGTTAGGAGTCTTCCTCGACGACCCGATACGAGTGTTATTGAGGAGAAAAGTTCTGGGAAATGCTCATAAAGCGGAAGTTAGACCCCGGGGACACTCAATGTATATACTTATGACACGCCGACTGGTTGAAGGTTTGTATGATTTGACGATGATAATTCCTTATATGTAACTACGAGCTTATTGATCAAAGCTTAATTGTGCTGACTCTCTGACATAGTCAGCGAGTTTTAGGCTACAAAGGAAACATTATAATTTAGCGAGGCAACGGAAACTTCTAGCTGACAACTTGGATTGAATATTCTCACCTCGTGGCAGCTAGAGTCAAATTATCAACATCCTTCAAAACATTGCGACGGGCAAACGGAGCACGCGCCGATATCGTCGTGCCAGCAAAAAGTTCCACAATTGGGGGGCCTGTCGTAGCATGGGGCTCTCTGCATAATAAAACATGAAAAGTTTGCTAAGATACTGATCATGACGAAAACGTACGTTGCATTAGGCCTCTGCACCGTTGAGTAAAAGAGACAGTGTGCAAGCGGCTAGGAGCAGGAAGGTAGCCTTGGGGGACACCATGAATGATGAATTTGGTACGAGTGAGCTTGGAAGGACTCAAGAGATAGTACTGAAGGGTTGTCAGTGAGGAGATTTGAACTACTTTGATTGCGCCTTTATATCCACAAAATGGTCTCTCAATGGCCTAATGGTTCGGGTGGAACAATTTGGGGCTTGACAAGGGTCGAACTTCTTCAGTGATACTTCAATTGGAGTCCTGAAACGTCGGGTGGTACTGATATTCATCTGAGTCAGGGTAAGCAAGAGGTCATTACTATATGTGATCAGGTTTGGAAAGAACACACGCATGTACCAGTTAATGTATCTCGCGTTGCGCTCAATAGGTCCACGGTATTTATTTGGAACGCCATGTACTTACAACACTCGCACATAATTTTTAAATAATTGAATCTAGATTAACATGTTCAACATGGGAACATTTAACCGGGAGCACAGATCAAAACAGACTCCCAGAGTACCAGAGTAAATCCCTGACTCAACTCCTCAAGTGAAAAGAGTCAAGACCAGTCTATGACACTCGGAGAGCCTATTGTTCACACGGGCTTCCTTGCTACCATAATTTCCCTTCACCACTGTTGATCTGTTAAACAGGGCCGATTGCTCTGAGGCTGAGTCAATCAATTCTTGGATAGATTCCAGATTTTTTGTATTGTTGGATAGTTCAGTGTCTTTTGGTAGCCATGCCCCCAATGGTGTTATCTACAATTCTAAATAAATTCCAATGCACTCACTTGGGATAGTTGAAGCATGCAGTAATACTGATCTTTGGAGGCACAACAATGTCAGTAAAAAATACAGAAACCATGGCTTGATTTTAGATTGACACGGGCCACCGATTCACAAAGGCACAGACTTTCAAAGGTTAATTATTGGAAGTGGTTGATATAGATATGTGTAGTGTTCTCACATGAATAACTCTCCTTCATGGTGTACATCTCCCTATAAGCTTGAGGTTTTTTGCCCCCAAATCATAAAAATGGCCCACGTAACCGAAACAACCAACATTCTCTATGAATTACTATAGTGCTACAGGATGTAACATGTATTGAGCCATACAGAATGTAATAACCGGTTGTTTCCATAACGCCCGCGTTGTCTAATGGCTATGACGTCAGACTTCTACCTTCTCGCACTCGTAGTGGGACTTGGATCAGAAAACAAAATCTGGAGGTTGCGGGTTCGAGTCCCGCCGTGGGTTTTGGCCTTTATTTATGCACTTTTTTTGCAAGAAAAAGGTCGACGGACGGCGGGGAGGAAAGAGGGGAGCGGGAAGAAAGAGGGGAGGGGGGAGGATTGAAGAGTCAGTAGGTTTGCAGGTGACTCTCAGAAGACTATAGTACTCCGAGTCCAGTGGTGACCGGAACCTGAACCTGATCAAAGGAGGCAAGGAGCATAGAGGTATGTTGTTGAGAACTAGTATGATATTTATGTAAAGGAATCATAAGAAACGGAAACGGAAAATGGAGAAAACCTAGGAAGTAAGGATGAGAGAGGTCAAAGGTGTCGTGTTTCTCCCTTGCTTAGGCTCCTGCATTGCCATATCATCTCCATCTGTAAACTTCAATGAGGTGAGGGATGTTTAGTATTCTCTATGAATTGCGACGCCTAAGGAGAAAAAGCTGCCTTGCTCAAAAAAGCTGGCTACTACCGTTTGAAATATATTAGCAAAAATAAGAACTTCTATCTTGGAAGAGTGTTATACAGGATAATTCAATAAATAGATATGTGATATTTCCTCTTTCCTCCTCCTTCCTCCTCCCCTTGAATAAACCCCACGGCGGGACTCAAGCCCTGCAACTTTGTACCTTTACTCTTCACCCTGCATATTTCAACACTGCCGAGTTTTAAAACTTTCTTTTCTAGTCTCAGCGCGCACCGTCGCAGAATAGAAACGTTATTCAAGGTCAGACAGCATTTTCTCTTACTCTAAGGATGCCAGAAGAAAGCTGGGAATGAGTAAACTCTGTTTCCTGGGGACTCAGCTAAGGACATAGATAAATACCGAGGATTAAAGTTTCTTGCAACTTAGAAATCAGGAGAGTCTAGATGGCGCGGAATCTACTCCGAGCTGAACGTCGATCTATAGTAGTAAGTTATGATGCCCAGAAATGAACACATGAAGCCGCAGGACAACGACGTCAGCCAGCAGTTCTTGGGATGCTGTGATCCGAACTTTGGCATTAGATAAAGCTTGGTGAAAGGCATCACATAGTTCACAAGAGTAATGCGTAGCTTTGATCCGGGGCCTTTGTAATTTGTTCCATGAACAATTTGTCGCTGCATCCCGACATATTTGGGGAAAGAGACCTGGAACGCCAAAAAAACTGTGAGATGAACAATTCGTGCCGGAAAGTAGGGGAGTCGATGAACTTCCCAACATAGTTTCACGTCGGCTGAGCTAACTGCAAAACTTTCATGTATAGCTGAAAGCAGCGACCGTGAGAAGGGTACTCACAATTGACCCCCAAAATGATGCTCCGACAGCCATGGACAATGTTTAGCAATCGACATAAGCGCAACCAGTTGACTAGCGGCCGCATTTGTGTGTTTGCTCGTCGTGCTTGAACGTGCGCGATTTCGGACCAAGAAATTCGGACAACGAATGAGAACGGGTACCCGGAAGCCGGCGGTGTTGCTCATTACAGATGAGATTCCTTCGAGGCAAGAATAATATACCTAGAGAGGATAGTCACGCACCTAGTGGTAAGATTGAAGGTGTGATCGCCACGGAGTCTGTCGGGGATCGTTTGTGAGCTTTTGTCAAGGACTTGGACGCGTTGTGACGCGTTCTTGCCAAGCGAGCGACGTTTGGCACCAGAGTAAAAGGTTAAATTGAATACTTAACTCCAAATGTTACACTCGTGCCCACGCTCTGAGTCCAGGTGCGGATGAATAGAGCCTTTCGCGCGAAGCCTCGCCGAGGCCCGGCCGCTTTCAAGCGTAAACTTTACCACGGCCACGTGCAAACAGGGAGAAAAAGACGCGGTGTGTCCGGACCGAGGTCATCGATCTCGCGCTTTCCTCGACTTCCATCTTCATTAACCCACAAAATCGCAAAACGATGGCCACAGTCGGAGAATGGACTCCTACATCCTGGAAAACCAAGACTGTTGCTCAGGTATGTCTCTCTATCATCCTACTTGCTGATCAGGAATGATAGCTTTCTGTAAAAGCCCGTGCATTACGAGGGAGACAACGCGGATAAACTACCTCGGTGTGTTCGATTTGTGTCCATACACCTTCTCTTTGCACTGAAAAGAGATCAATTAGTGTCCTCAACAAACTTTCGAGCTTGCCACCGTTAGTAACAGCCGCAGAGGTCGAAAGGCTCCGCCACCAACTTGCACGCGTTCAAGAGGGCAAGGCTTTCCTTCTACACGCTGGGGACTGTGCAGAGAGTTTCGATAGTTGTACAGCGGGAAATATCGAGAAGAAAGTTGGGTTGATTCTCAGTTTCTCCCTTGTTCTCGTTTGGGGCGGCCGAAAACCAGTGGTATGTGGTTTTACTCTTCACACCTATTCAGTCCACTTTATCTGGACGACCATCAGGTCCGTGTTGGTAGGATCGCCGGTCAGTACGCAAAACCAAGGAGTAGCCCCAAAGAGAAAGTCAAGACCAAAGGAGAGAATGGAGAAGAGATAGTGAGGGAAGTCATGAGTTTCCGTGGTGACAATGTAAACGGCCTGGATATCAACGACCGACAACCAGACCCAGACCGTTTATTGAGGTAAAACTTTCTTCAATTTCGGGGTTTTTGTTCACAATTGATTCTTTCTATAGCGCGTACTTCCACTCGACCACAACCTTGAACTACATTCGTGGTCTTCTGTCTTCAGGATATGCAAGTCTGTATGGAGCACACCCCCGAGACTGGAGTTTGAACCACGTCCGTTCGGATACCCTACGAAACTCTTTCACCGAGATTATCGATTCGTTGTCGGATGCTCTAGATTTCAGTCAGACAATTGGAGCTACAAAAGGAGATGGCTTTGAAAGCGGCGCTGGAAGGGGTGGAGCTTTCGGAGAAGTCGATTTCTACGTCAGGTGAGACAGTCGCGTTAACCTTATGCCATTCTTTTAATGACATTATTTCCATTCTGCAGCCATGAGGGTCTGATGTTAGATTATGAAGAAGCACTTACCAGGAAGAACGACGTCCTTGGCAAGTCTGATGTACGTTTATTTGGTCTTCCCTTCCGTACTATACGAGACTCATGACGATGATCGAAGGGCTACTATAACTCTTCTGCCCATTTCATTTGGATTGGAGACAGGACGAGGCAGCTGGATGGTGCTCACGTAGAGGTAAGTGCTATCGATCGGTCTTCTGACCATGTTCTAATGCCGGACGCGGCTTTTCTGATTACCTAGTACTTCCGTGGTATTCGTAACCCCATTGGTATTAAAGTTGGCCCGACCATGAAGGGGGACGAGTTAGTTCGCTTAGTCGAGCGTGAGTTTCTCTGCTCCAGTTCCAGTCTTTCGTCTCGAAAATCTAAAACGTTACCTACGAATCCCATTAGTCGTCAACCCCAATAAAGAGCCCGGCCGAGTTACTCTCATAACCCGTTATGGTGCTGACAAAGTGGAGGCTCACCTACCGGGGCATATTCAAACCATCCAAGAGTCTGGGCATCCAGTTGTCTGGGTGTGCGATCCTATGCATGGAAAGTGAGTGGTCTTCGGTTTTTCACGTGGACCTAGTTTTTCCTTAATGTTGAACGATGCTTACATCCAGCACACACACTTCGGCCACTACGGGCCTCAAAACACGCCATTTCAAGAGTATAATAACGGAGCTCACTGCTACATTGGCAGTACATGCCAAACTCGGAACTTATCTTGGCGGCGCATCGCTTGAATTTACAGGTGAACTTAACGATGACGGTTACAGTGTAACAGAATGTTTGGGAGGCAGTATGGAGCTGTCCGAGGAGGAATTGGGCTTGAGATATCAGGTAAGGGATTCTTGAAAACTCTTTTTCGAAGTCTGTTATTCATTGACGTTATGTATTCTCGAATCGCCCAGTCCTTCTGCGATCCCAGACTCAACTTTGAACAATCCCTCGACTTGGCATTCCTTCTCTCGAACCATTTCAAGCACGTAAGAAAAACTGGGGACCGAAGCGAGGCGGCGTTTGGTGGAGAGCTGTACAAAGCATTAGGCGGTCGGATCAAGGAGTAATTTAGTGGGGTCAACTACCTTGAGATATCTTTGAAAAGGGATTACAGTTGCATACCTATACAGATTACCTATTTATTTAGAATATGTTTCATTTAGCGTACAGGGAATTAAATGTAGAACACCGCATCCCCTCATGTCCGGATGAATGGAGAACTCAGCGTCAATAAATTGTGGTGAAACTATGGAACGCCCTCTTGGCTTCTTCAAAATACCTTCGAGAAGTCCTGCTCTGCCTCCTTATTATTCGGCTTTCGCTTTACCTCCTTCACATTGGCCACCGAGCCTAAACTCCCCTTGTCCGTCTCACTTTCGAGAGCACCCTTCCACGCTCACATTCTACGCGGGTAGAATGGGGCTTACGAACCTTGTTACCCGCGCAAAGAGGAGATAGCTAGCGTTAATTCGTTTCCTCCCTGGCAGTGAAACGAGTTTAGTCGGATATGGGGGCATAGTGGGTCAATTTGAGTTGTTCCTTGAATCCCAGCGTGGGGGTTGAAGGTAGAAAAAGTCGAAATTTGAATGGAATCTGTTGGATAATAAGTCCTAGTCAGCGCTGAGATCGTTATTGAGTAGTTCGGATGGCTGAATGACTTGCATTCCCGTAATACCCTTGTCAACTACAGTTCCTATACGCGTATTTTCGGATTTTCGATGCTGCATTTTGAGCGTCTGTGGCGAAGAATTCAGCTAGTTGAATGGAAATGACTCTTGACCTGCACGTTGTCTTTGGCCGCATACGATAATTGATACGACGGGACGATAGGGTTTTTTTTCGTATTGAGCGTTTTGGTTTCTGAGCGCTTTGATAATATTCGGAAGCTCTTCTTCTAATATCAATATCCTCTCTTATAAGCAGGAAGAGTCAATGATCACACAGTGATATTTTTAAAGATGTTTAAGCAGTTTCCTACCTCAGACACGCCGTTCCTAGATGCAGAAATTCGTTCAGGAGGCGTGTAGCTCTCTTCTGGTATGCCAAGGACCGCTCTATCCTGTTCGATGGTGCAGACTC